GGCGACTTCTACTAAAGCGTTTATCATGACTTCTTTTAACTTGTCTAGGTCTGCTATATGTAATGGGGACCAGCTCCATTAGAATCACATGATGGTTTCAAATATTTTGTCATTTTTGTTGATGATTATTCTCGAGCAACTTGGTTGTATTTGTTGAAATCAAAGGGTGAAGTTACTTCTGTTTTCCAGGATTTTCACAAGCTTGTCATGAATCAATTTGACTCTCAAATTAAAGTTTTAAGAACTAATAACGGCACCGAATTCGTAAATAGCTCTATGACTCAGTACTTGAGCTCTTATGGTATCATGCATCAAACAAGTTGTGTTGGAACCTCCCAACAAAATGGAATAGCTGAAAGGAAGAATCGCAATCTTCTTGAAAAACCAAGGTCTATTATGTTGAATATGAATGTTCCAAAAAAATTTTGGTCACATGGTGTTCTTACAGCAGCCTATCTAATCAATAGGCTACCCAGTCGCATTCTCAAGCTTAAGTCTCCCTTGGAAATTCTCAAGAAAAGGAAGATTGATTTATCTCATTTACGGATCTTCGGTTGTGTGTGTTATGCTCATGTTCAAGCTTCAAATCGTGACAAACTTGATTCTCGAGCTGTTAAGTGTGCTTTTATTGGTTATTCCACAACTCAAAAGGTTCCAAATGTTATGATGTTAAAGCAAGATGGGTTCTGATCTCACGAGATGTCAAGTTTGATGAATCCAAATCTTTTTTGAAAAGACTTTAGAGAATAATCCTCAGGGGTAACAATTATCTGATGGTATTCCATTACCATTGATAGAAACAGATTTATTTCCTTGTTCATCAAATGATATTCCAGATGAGAATTTTCTTCCTGAGCATAATGATGAGCATAGGGCTGAAAGTCCTGATGGTGTTCAAACTGAAATAAATGGTGAGTCTGAAGTTACTGTCATCGCTGCACCACGATGCAATCCTACAAGAGAACGACATCAGCCAGCAAGTTTGAAAGATTACATTACTTTTGCATCCAGGTATCCTATATTGAACTACATCTCTACTGCAAATGTATCTTTGTCTCATGCTGCCTTTTTAAGCAATATTTCAAAGTACCGTGAACCATCTTCCTTTGAAGAAGCAAATTCTCAGTACGTTTGGAGAGATGCTATGAGGGAAGAACTTCATGCCCTTGATGAAAATTGCACTTGGAGTATTGTCAAATTGCCACAACGAAAAAGGGCAGTTGGATGTAAGTGGGTTTACAAGACTAAATTTAAAAGTGATGGCTCTCTTGAAAGGCATAAAGCCAGGCTTGTTGCAAAGGGGTTTACTCAAACGTTTGGGGTTGACTACAAAGAAACTTTTGCTCCGGTTGCTAAAATGAATACTGTGAGAGTTCTTTTGTCAGTTGCAGTCAACAATGATTGGCCACTCTTCCAAATGGATGTAAAAAATGCCTTTTTACATGGAGAGTTAGGAGAAGAAGTCTACATGAGCTTACTGTTGCGTAGATACAGCTGCACCAAAATGGATTCAGCTGCATCCTCAACTTGTGATACTCGCAAGTGCACGAGCCGTTCGGTAGTATAGCGTATGTAAGTGCGAGGTCGATCCCACGAGGATTGGTGATTGAATGATTCAATTCATTTTCCCTACACAAAACAGAAATGAAAAAGAAGGGAAATAAATAAAACAAGGAAGAAAGAAAATAACTAACTCAAGCAGATAAGTTCCCAAGTTCAATTAGATTAACGGATTGATTCTAGCTAATGTATGATTAAGCCATGGTGTGTGGTCATAACCTTGTGTTCCTAATTCCCTAATTTGATCATTTGTTGTCTAACCTAAAATTAAGCATTAGGAACCCATTAAGCATAGAAGAACAATTTAAACAAC